AAAACAATGTATGCAACACATAACATATACAAACACACAATGAATCACATAAGTCTGTATTAATTCAGCAGTCAAAATTGATGACTTAATCAATGATTAGTTTCAGTTATCTCTAATCCACATGCAGTGTCTACACAAGCACCGACTATCACTCCACCGATAGCCCAAAACAGTTATTTCTAGACTTGGAAATAAATATATCAACAATTCATAGGCGAGTGATTTAGTTATCCAACTACACCATTTAATCAATAAATTCCCCAATTTCATGAATTAACCAAATTCCCCAATTCCCTTAAATTAATTATACAAATTAATTAATTAATACAACTAGGGTTTTTCCCAAAATTACCAAAGTACCCCAACATATAAAATACTAAAACTTAGAACAAAACTTATAAGATGGAGTAGGAAATCCCTACCTCAGAGAAAACAACCCAAATGGTGAAGACAGAGATGAGTGCCCAAAGACCAAAATGCTCCAAATTGCCAAATGTTCAGATTAAATGAAAGCCCTCGACTCACTCTATCTTTTTAATAAAGCAACTAGGGTAGAAACACACTCTAAATAGATCAAACCTAAGAGAGAAGGTGAGTAGGGAGAGAGAGAAGTCGGACCTAGGGTTTGGAATCAAAAAGAAGATGAAAAAGACTGATCAAAACCCGTTGCTGCGTAATTAAACTGGACAGGCTCGCTCGAGCGAAGACTTGGTCGCTCGAGTGACCAGACACAAGAAATCCTCGCTCGAGCAAAGAAAAGCTCGCTCGAGCCAAGAATGCAATGCTACAGGTCCATACTAGACGCAAACGCTTGCTCGAGCTAAGAAAATCTGGCTCGAGCCACCAAACACAAAATACAACCCTCGCTCGAGCGACCAAGTACTCGCTCGAGCGACCAACCCAAAAACTGGACAGCAACACTTGGTTTCCGAACCAACCAACCTGAAACAAACTTGCCCAACACATCCTATAACTCCAAATAAGAAAATAAAGAATGACAACAACAATTATACAATGACAGAATCTACGGAACCTAAGTCCGGATACAATAATCAAATGGGAAAAGACCGGGGTCGCTATATTGTGAGTTTTGGAATTATGATTTAAGTGTGGAAAATCTGTTTGGTGAATGAGTTTTGAAAAGAGTTTTGAATTAAGTGGAGAATTTTTGATGTGACATATGATATTTGATACAAAAACTTACAACTCATAACCAAACACACAACTCAAAATTCTATTAAGACAAAAAAATTTTAAAAATTCAGAAAATATGTTTTATTGAATATATAAAAATTAACATGTGTCAATTAAAAAAAAAATTGCACTGTTCCGATCAACCGGCCGAAAGACCGGTGGACGTCCGGTGGGATGACCGGTTAGCTCAAATTTTCCCGCCTTCGACCGCGTTTTCAAAAGTAAGTGTGGAATTAATTTTTAAAATTTGTAAACAAACGCCCTGTTCAAATCAGCTTTGGAACTAACGTTCCAAAGCCGTACCAAACACAACCTTAGTTATTTTCCAAGAGCTTGTCTTTATGGACAAAGTAGTTTAGATTGTGGACTTTTGGCCAAAGAAAATCTAAAATTGGATTTATGGACCAAGTGTCAAAAAAAAAAAAAATAGGAAAAAGAAGAAGGAGAGACGAGAGATAAAGAAAAACGAAAGGACAGACAGACGAGAGATGAGAGAAAGAGAGACGGATGACAGGTAGACTACTTTCCAAGTCGTTCGGTGATGTAGATCGATTGAGATGGAGATTGCGATAGAGATCGACTGAGGACTTCGCTTGATAAACATGTTCACTTTTCTCTTCTCTCTTTCTTTTCTTCTGATTGTGGATTTATTCTTCTCTTTCTTCTTTGTGCTTTGTCCCCTACCATGTCCTACTGTGTCCCATACCAAAAAAAATAGGACACGCCAATTGGCGTGTCCAACGCATGTCCGACGTGTGTTCTTGTGTTCGATTTCGCTACGATGCCTATTTTGAAGTGTTCATACTTCATAGCATACAAGACATATAATTTAATGTATTTATTATATTTTATATTTTTAAATATTTAATATTTATTTTATATCAAATATTTAATTTTATCAAATTTATCAGCCTTAGGTTTGTTATTTTAGTAAGAAAATTTTGAAAAAAAAATTGAAAAAAAAATAAAAAAATCGGTCCTCAACATATCTCCAGCATGTTTTCAGCGTGTACCAATGTGTCCCTAGCATGTCCCAAGTGTCCTAACATGTTCGACTCTTTCTAGCATGTGTCCAAAGCATGTCTGTGTCTGACACCTATACGTCACCTCCGGAGAAGTGTCCGTGCTTGATAGAAAGAATCTAAAGATGGTGCTTCCATTTTTTAATGTTTTAAATTTCCATATTAATCAAATGGTGATGTGCTACTACCATTTTCTTAGAATTTCAGGAAGTTTTATCTTTTGGTCTTAAGTCAAATCATGATGAAACTCTTGGAACTCATGAGATTTGTATATGAAAGTAATCTCAATGTAATTCCTATCCGTTCCAAATTAGTATGAGGGTGTTTGTTTTGAGGGATTATTCCATGGGATTGGACTATTAGTCCATCCAGACTGATGGACTAATAGTCTATTGTTTGGTTCAATTTTTTTATTCCAGATTAATAGTCTCTCCAGACTATTAGTCCCTCATATGAGGGATTATTGTATCCTATGGGGGAGGGTGGGATTATTTCCATGGGATTGGTATCCCATGGGATTAATGTGTGAAATGTCCATTTTATCCTCATGCTATTACTAATTAACAATTGGAAAAGGGTAAAATAGTTTTTTGAACATTTATAAATTATGTTTTTAATGTTGTTAATTTAAAATTATATATTAAATAAAAAATATAAATTATAAATTTAATTTAATTAAAAATTATGGCCTTATAATTTTTTTTGGTGTTGTTAAAAAATTTAATTTATATATTAAATAAAATTATTTTTTTAGCGTTGTTAATTTAAAATTATATATTAAATAAAAAAAATAAATTATAAATTTAATTTAATTGAAAATTATAAATTATAAATTATGGCCTTATAAATTAAATTGTTTTTAGTGTTGTTGAAAATTTAATTTATATATTAAATAAAATTATTTTTTTAGCGTTGTTAATTTAAAATTATATATTAAATAAAAAAAATAAATTATAAATTTAATTTAATTGAAAATTATAAATTATAAATTATGGCCTTATAAATTAAAAAATTTTAGTGTTGTTAAATTATAAATTATAGATTACAAATTTAAAATTATATATTAAATAAAAATTATAAATTACAAGGGTAAAATAGTCTTTTAAACATTTATTCTTATCCAGTCCATCCAACCAAACATTGGATTCACTAAAAATAGTCTAATCCAGACATCTAATCCCATGACTAAACAAACATAGGATTCAAATCCAGTCCAACCAAATAATCCGAGGACAATGTATCCCAGGACTAATAGGCCGATGGATTACAATCCCCCCTTATCTAGTCCCTCCAAACAAAGTGTCTTCAGTGGCAGCTTGTGGATGTGTATCAATACAGGTAGGTTTCAAAAATTTTCCAGGCTCCGACCATGAGGGGACATTACAAAATCTAGATAGTCTCGGAGTACCATGTGGTATTTGATTATGAGGTACTCCTAATATATGAGGAACTACAAAATATACTAGATGAGTCATTCATTATCTCACACCCACCTAATAAAGGTGCATCAGTATTGTCTCACCTATAAAGTTTTTCACTATGTTATTGATTGAGAATAATACATACACCCTATCACATAATATTCTGAAACTATTAACAATTCCGTTATAGGGCCCGAAAGACCCAACGGCTCGAATGGCTCAAAATAGTTTTCCGCCGAAATTTTGATGCACGCGGAGCTCACGTGTTCTGCACAAAGTGATGAAGAAAAATGAAACAAAAAACAGAAACAAGAAAGGAGAGAAGGGAGAGAAAGAGAGAGGTTGCGATCACGACGACGACCGACCTGGTGTTCACTGACGGGCGTCGCTGACCACCGTCCACCGCTGTTCGGAATCTCCATTTTGTATCTGTGCATGTAGGTAAGTAATTTGAGATGCATTTGTCTCTTACTCATAAACAAAACGAACAGATGAACTGTAGGAACGAGATTGAACATCTCGTTATTGATTGAACATTGATCTTTGGTCAACATTTCGTTTCTAAGATGCATTTTTATTTTGCTAACATTGATCTGTGGTCAACATTTTGTAAGACACAGATTGAACATCTCATTATTGATCTGTGTATGTGAAAAAAAAAAAAAAAAAAAAAAAAAAAAAAAATTGGTTGTTCTGGAAGCAAGCCCTCTGTTAAACATTTCCATGGTAGTGATGCATGCCAATTGTTTGATGAAAGTCCGCATAGAGAAATTGCCCTGATTTTTTATGTGTTGGTTGATGAAAGTCCTGATGCTAATCTGTGTAATTAAAATCTTGAAAGTCGTGATTTTTTATGTGTTGGTTGAGAAATTATGTTTGAAACTAATTTTGTCATTTAGATCATCTCATTTATCCTGAGAGTCCTAATCATTTATCCAGACACAGATCAATAACTAATGTGTTGAATTATCCTGAAAGTCCTAATCAGTCCTAATCATTAATTCATTTATCATTTATCCAGTCCTAATCATTAATTCATTAATCATTTATCCAGTCCTAATCATTAATTCATTAATCATTTATCTAGTCCTAATCATTAATTCATTTATCCTGAAAGTCCTAATCACTGTTCTTAATTTACCTAATCAACTCATCACTGAGATCATCTCAGTGTAAGAATTAATCTCAGTGTTGAATTAATCTCAGTGTGTTGAATTAATCAACTCATTACTCATTACTGAGATCAATGTGTTGAATTAATCTCAGTGTTGAATACATCTTAGTTGGAAAAATTGAAATGCACATACATGCACTTACACTTTAGTTTCTATTTGGTTTGAAGCTACACGAACTACATGCTTCAATGGACATTGATTCAACCAATCCTTCATTGAATGGGAGTGAGGAAGTTGAAGAGACAGAAAACAATCCGTCATTAAATGAGATTGGTGAAGTTGAAGAACCTAAGAAGGGCATGTGTTTTAGCTCAAAGCAAGAAGTATATTCGTTTTATGCAAAATATGCGAAGCACCTCGGATTTGCTGTAGCTTATAGAACACAGAATATTGGACAAGATGGGGAAGTAAATTACTTTGGAATTGAATGTACTCGGGCATGCAAGAAAACAAAACGATCAGAAGTACACCCTCTCGAACCATCTTTGTCATCATTCATTGAGTGTAAAGCAAAGGTTAGAGCAACTCTACAAACTGATGGAAGATTTAAGTTGACCACAGTTGTGCTTGAACATACGCATGACTTGATTCCTAGTGACTCACGACATTTTGCAATGAATAAGAGAATTCTTACCTTTGTGAAGAGAAGACTAGAAATAAACGATGAAGCAGGGATAAGGGTGGCTAGAAATTTTCATTCTATAGTTATTGAAGCAGGGGGGTATGAGGCATTAACATTTGATGAACAAGATGCATGGAATCACATTCAGAGTATGAGAAGATTGAGGCTTGGGGTAGGAGATGCTGAATCAGTTGCACTTTATTTTCATAGGATGCAACAACAAAATTCGAACTTCTATTATGCAATTGACCTCGATGAAGATGGTTGCATGTGAAACTTGTTTTGGGCGGATGCAAGGAGTAGGGAAACTTATAAAGCATTTGGGGATGTGGTTTCATTTGACACAACTTATCTGACAAACAAATATGATATGCCATTTGCTCCGTTTGTAGGAGTTAATCACCATGGGCAGTCAATTTTGCTTGGTTGTGGGCTATTTTCTAATGAGAACACTGAAAAATTTGTGTGGCTATTCAGAGAATGGTTAAGTTGCATGTCTAACGTTCCTCCAAAAGCTATAATAACAGACCAGTGCAAAGCTATGCAAAATGCCATTGAAGTTGTCTTTCCAAAAGCTCGACATCGTTGGTGCTTATGGCATATCATGAAGAAAATTCCTGAGAAATTAAGAGGATATGCCTAATATGAATCCATCAAGCTTGCTTTGCAAACGTTAAGAAAGAGATGAAAGCAGACTTTAAATCTCGAAACAAATTGTATGATTTCTTAACGGTATATGAGTTTGAGAAGCAATTTCATGCAGCCTACACGAATGCAAAATTTAAAGAAGTGCAAGTAGAATTGAAATGACTATTGTATTGTCGTGCGAATCTTGTCAAAGAGGAGGGAGCAATTTGTACTTATCATGTGAAGGGGGCTGTTCTTGTGGGTGAGAAAATGAAGACTGTGGAATTTGTTGTGTACCTTAATACAACTGAATGTGAATTGCATTGTATGTGTCGGTGGTTTGAGTTTAGGGGCATTATGTGTGCCCATGCAATTACTGTGCTACTTGAGAGGTGTATATATCAGGTGCCACATAAATACATTGTATCAAGATGGAGTAAAGATATCGAACACATGCATTCCAACCACATACACTAAAGCTGGGGTTGTTCTTAATGCAAAGTTGCATGACAAATACCACAAGATGTTGGATGAAATCATAAAAATTGCTGCCAACGATGATGGTAAACACGAAGTGCTTGATCTTGGGCTGATAGAAATCAAGGATAGAGTGAGAAAAGATCAATCGGGTAGTGCGAGTCATGCACCACCTTCTACTAGTAACGTGCCACCTTCTACTAGTTCGTTGAGAAGTCCGTCTGCTCGTAGTACTACAAAAGCAAGCATGTCTCGCAAGATGCTTAGTCCAATGGTTGCTCGCCGAAGAGGACGTCCATGTACCAAACGGAAGGTTAGCAAAGTGGATGCAATAGTGAATCGGTTAAAGGAACGAATAAGTTTTTTTGTTGTGTGTGACATGGAAATTGTTGAATGTATTTAAGATAAATTATTCACCTATGTGTCTGTGTCTTACTATAGGGACGCACGGTTCCTCAATCTAAGCCTCGGAAGTTAAATTTTCCTGGTACAAATGATATGCAATACAATACTTATCATGACCCGGTATGTATTTGAATTTTTATGTTGTTGGTTGTTTTTTATTTAAATGTCTTTTTATGTATAATGAAATTGTGTTGCTATGATCATAAGGTGACGCAAACTGCATCTTACTATTTTCCTTGCATGGATGGCACGCAACAGAGTATGTATGTACCGGTATGTGGTCAATGTTTAAACTAAAATATTTGTTCTTGTTTTAATTGATATATATGTTGAATGGACAATATTTGTAAAGTGTACTTGTTTATTGAATAGGCACAGTTTAGTCAAACGCAAACGGTGGACAATATTGGAGGCACATCTCAAACTCAATTAGGAATGGTGAACAACATCAGCAGTCAAAGTTTGACAATCGCTTCAAATGTTCACTTCCATGTAGATGCAGATCCAAATGTCCCCTTTTTTTTTAGTTTCGCATTGTACTTTAATGCTAATATTTTATCACCTATTTCGAGATGATGGCAAATTGTCTGTTGAATGGGCCAGATTACGGTTCAGATTATGTCTATGAATGTGACTGAATGGGCCACATTTTGGTTCAGATTATGCTCAGCTTGTATGTCTATGAATCTACGTGAATGCTCCAGGTTATGGTTCAGATTATGTCTATGAATGTGACTGAATGGGCCACATTTTGAATGCTCAAATGTATGTCTTTGAATGCTCCAGGTTAGGGTTCTTGAAATCTGTTTAAGATTTATCAATCTGTTAATGGTAATATGTTGAATGCTAATATTTTATGTTGAATGATGGCAAATGGATGTTGAATGATGGCAAATTGTACGTTGAATGGGCCAGATTTTTAATGCTCAATCTGTATGTCTGTGAATCTGCCTGAATGCTCCAGGTTATGTCCATGAATCTGCCTGAATGGTTGTTCAATCTGCCATGAATCTGCCTGAATCTGCCATGAATGGTTATGTCCATGAATCTGCCTGAATCTGCCATGAATCTGCCTGAATGGTTATGTCCATAAATCTGCCTGAATCTGCCAGATTTAACCTTGCCAGATTTCAACCTGTTTCTGTATGAATGTGATCAATCTGCCACATTTTGAATAAACATGTCCATTACATAATGCTCAATCTGTTCAACATGTCCATTACATAATAATAAACATGTCCATTAAACATTTATGAATCTGTTAAATCTTTTCCACTCATCCGTAATAAAATTACATCCATAATAAAGTTAACATGTCCATTACAGCAGACTTTAAAGTTAACATGTCCATTACATCCACAAACACTACATTGAAACAGATCCATAATAAAATGCTCCAGGTTATGGTTGTTCAATCTGTTAAAGATTTATCAAACAAATCCATTCAAACACTACATTGAAATTACACAATATGTCCATTACATCCATTCAAAATATGTCCATTACATCCAACATGTCCATTACATTCGTTTAACATGTCCATTACATTCAACATGTCCATTACATCCAGTCAAAATATGTCCATTACACCCATTCAACATGTCCATTACATTCATTTACATGATAAAGTAAAAAAATACACAAAATATAATGACATAAGTCATTGCCTTGAAAATCTTCTCCATCCTTTCAAGCCTTCTATCATGCTCACCAAGCCTTCTCCTTAGATCAGTAATTTCTTCTGTTCTTATATCTGTGGAGGTAACATCGTCGTTGTCATCTTCTGCGAACCTGAAGTAATTACAGTGTTCGTTCGCAGTCTACAATGCACAAGAATCGGTTAATCAAATCAGACAAATGAAATTTGTAAAAAATGAAACATTAATTTATATAACAGATACTTTCATATTTTGTTGGGCAAACAAAAAACACACGTCCTTCATTTCCATTCTCATTGGCTCGTACAATATGTATGGAAGTTGTTCTTCCACAATAACAGAATCTTGGCTTTAATCTTATGTTCCTATTATTAGTAGAAGATGAAGCCATTTTTTTATCTGCATAAAAAATACCAATACATTAATGTTTCACTTTTACTAGCCTCATAGTCCAAAGAGCCCCAACACAATACAATCACAATGACCAACTTTACAGATTTTCCAAAACTGTCAAGTCATGTAACTTGAATAACTACCAAAAGTTCCGGCTTACTTTTGTCAATGGTTTTAGGTCTTTACCAGAAAACAATAGACTTCAAGTTGTGACATCTACTGTGCACTGTTGGAATATCTTTAACATTCCCATGTCTGAATAATCTGGCTATGAACATGCCTTCCTATCATTTTTGGAACTATGTTATCATAGTGGTTTCACTTGCAACATTTCTTCTATGGCTATTGCTAACTAGTGCCCCGGGGGTATTATTTAATTTTGAGATTTGTGTAAAAACTGCTCTGAAAATAGTGAAAAAGTTATAGAAGCTTTTAAATTCAATGACAAGTGTTTTGAAATTAGTGAAAAATGTCATGTGTTATTAATTTTTGTCCTTTTCTTGTGTCCCCATGGGGGCCTTGTCAGGGACTTGTACAATTCTCTAATCTTATGCTTTAACATGATGATTATAGCCTTGAAATTGATCAACACAATTTTTTGATGTGAATAAACATAATGATCAACAATTATTTGTATGAATTTGCATTAATGCACCACTTACACTACTCATTTGCATATATTATGCTGCAGCAATTTTATATGATAGGAAGGGATAAGAGTAGAACATAATGGAAAGTGTTAAAGATTGATAGGTCAGAGCCTTCTGAGCTAAATATTCGTGAAGATTCTACCACCTAGACAGAGAGTGAATGCTGTGACCTGTTGAGAAGGATACATGAGGGAAACAGGTTCACTGGGGGACTTAAATTTGTCACTACTTGTTACGGAATTGTTGGTATGTGAACTCTTTAATTGCAAACTTTGTTCCTAAAGAAGCTCATGTGTCTCCATTATAATATTAATTGTGGTTCATTGTTTTTTTAGGGTTCATTAAATTTCTGGGTCCTTACTACATGCTGCTTATCACAAAAAGAAAGCAGATTGCTGCAATTTGTGGCCATAACATATATGCTGTCTCTAAGAGTGAGATGATTCCCCTTCCAAATTCTACTGTCTATGGCAACATGGCTAGTGCCAAGAATGAAAACAGGTAATTGTCCATTCTACTGGGTATATGTCTTCTTCATAAATGACTATTTTATGTTTTATACCAGTTTCAATTTTTTCTTCCTGATTTTTTTGTTGTACTTTTTTTCAATCAATATACACAAAATACGATTACCTTGTGTATTTCAATCAATATACAGATGAGTATACAGAAATTTTTCAATCAATATATTTCAATCATAAGTCATCACAGATGTGTGTGTCAAGCAAAACCAATCAAATGTATACAGAGAGTAACAGATTCAAATGCAAATCTCAAACCCTAACACATCAGAAATTCAAGCCAAATCCCAAACCCCAACACAAATTTCAAGCAAAATCCAAACCCAAACACGCTCCAATCGACTAATTTCTACAAAAAAATTGAAGCCAAACATAAACCCTAACATGGCTCGATTTCAGGTTTATCTCAGTCGTTCTTCGTACTACTTCAACAGACAGGTGAGAGAGGCGAGACTGAAGAGATAGCAAGGTGTCACGACCCAAACCCGGCCCTATGGGTTTAGCACCGTAACCGGCCAGTAATCCGCGATTACCAAAGGCCTG